GTCAGAGCTGGGGTCTAGAACAATCTGGCAGCGTCCTTGTGGGAGGATGCTGCCTAAATAGAGGTGAACACAGGTGCAGGATAATAAGGAGCAGGTGAAACTAATCTGAGTAAGGAAGAAAGTAAAAAGACCTAAGCTATGGTGAAACAAAACAGGAAGTAGAAACAAAATAAAAGCCTGACAGAAAACAGTGGAACCGAATCGTGACACCGTCAGGCCAATAATGGAGGCTGACTTTTTGATAAACTTGTTTATCCTGTTCCTATCATTAGCAGTAGTGCTGTTAACCCAACATACAACAGCATAAAACAAGGAACTGGCCAAAAAGTGCTGATAAAAAGCATTTAAGAACTGCTTCCTAATCTCAAACAGCTTTAATTTCCTCTGTAAAAACAAGCTGGATTGTGCCTTTTTAAAAAAGCTTGAACATTCTCAGAATCATCAGAAAGGTTTTGAAGATGACAAATTGTCTGACAAGGCCTGCAGTCTGCTGTGTACAGCTTAAATAAAAAGGGTCACCAAACTGTTCCCTGTGGGGCTCCGGTATTTGTTATATCAGAAACTTTCCTATGTAGTGTGACATACTAAGGTCTAGATGAAAGAAGTCTAAAATCCAAGCTACTGTGAAGGTTAAAATGAATCAATTTTGATCCCAAAAGGTGAGGCTGCACAGGTAAAATCAAAAACATGTACAGAACTACCATCCATCTCTAAATGATGATATATAGAATGTAACATTTAGAGCAGTGCATCATCGACAGCTACTTAGCTTCTATATGCAAACTGCAAAGGATGTTGAAATGGGCCAACCTGCATCTTAAAAGGCTCCAATATGGCCCTATAAAAGTACTTCATAATATGTGAAGCTAGTGCAACAAGTCTTAAGTCATTAAGCTCCCAATTCTTCTTGGAGACAGGCACAATACAAGAGATTTTTCATTTAGCTGGGATTCTACACTCAGTTACTGACAAGGAAAAAAATACAGTGAAAGGCACTGTGCAGCTGGTCAGCTCATATTTTTATAGTGCAAGGATGGATACCAACAAACCTGCAGCCAGGTATGTAGGGGTCCAAGCAGCTGACACAACTCAGAACCAAACATGAACCATCTTGTGGCAACCAGCAAGAGGAAACAGGGACCTCACTGACTATAGGGCTACAACTATTGAATGAATTTGCATGTGTTTGTATGCGTGGGCACAGAACACCCTCCTGCAGTGCACACTGCTAGGATCTGATCAATCAATACTTTATTTGTTGTACAGCCTGCAGCAATCATTTCCAAACACAACACAGATAACACAATGAAATAGCATGAAATTAAGATAAATAAGGAGGATTAGTCCAGCACGAAAACAGAACATTTTAGGCCACCTGGATTTCATCACTGCCACAATCTCTCAGTGCAGCTGCTTTAAACATTATACTTAGGTAAATCCTTTCAAGTTATTTAACTTGCCTGCACCTGGTTTAGCAATCATGAGTGAGACAAACTGAGTTCTTAGTGCACAAATAAAAAGAAGAGCAAGAACAAATCATCAAAACGCTTGAGACCTCTTGAGTCTTCTTGCAGAATGAAGTGATTATATGTCACTGAGTGTGATCCTAGTTTGTGATTTTCAGACAATATCAGGACAACACACCAATTTTTCTGAGCATGGTGGAATCGATATGTGCAGGTGTCTGTTATCTACAAATGAAAATACATGGTAACAGACAGACAGACAGACAGACAGACAATCAGATAGATAGATAGATCCCAAAGTGAACTTATTGTGTTGCAATGACCACTTTACAAAATTACAAAAGCAATGCAGTAACCTAAGAATAGAATTTAAGGCCAAAGTTTACAAAAAGGTTAATATGCAAAATGTTAATATCAATGCACAATTCTGCAACTTTGTTTTTTAAACTATTTTAGATTATCCACCTGACTTACACTATTGTGCATTGTAGCATAGGACATTACTTAGTGTATTAGTCTCTATTTTATTATAGACTTTTCTATTTTTATTTTTATTCTATTTATTTGATCATTTGCCTTTATAGTTAATTTAACAAAATTAAATGAATAATAAATAAACATATACATACAGTATATGTTGTCAGAGGAACAGATCCCTCTCCCACCACAGAGGAGAGTCAATGTACAGGGCAATGGCAGTCAGCAGCTCAAGTTTATTTATATGGCACATTTTTGTACAAACCCCAATTCCAGCGAAGTTGATAATGTAACACAATGGTAAAATACCCCTGTCCCAGCTCTTTTAGAACATGTTGCAGGCATTAAGTTCAAAATGAGTGAATATTTGCAAAAAACAGTTTATCAGTTTGAACATTACATATCTTGTCTTTGTGGCATATTCAGTTAAATATGGGTCAAATAGGATTTGCAAGTCATTGTATTCTGTTTTAATTTACATTTTACACAATGTAAAATTCTTTCTAACTTCATTGGAATTGGGGTTTGTACACAGAGGTAATTCAAAGTGCTTAATAAGGTAGGACTTTATTGATCCCACAGTGGGGAAATTCCTGTGTTCCAGCAGCAATAGAGAGCAAGCAACAAAACACCATAAGAACAAACACCACACACATATCATGAGAAACAAATTCAAAGTACCTAAAACCAGACAAAATATAATATTTGAGATACAATCAGGAACAAGATAATCCTCCCACAATACACAGAAAAAACAATGAAACAATTACACAATCAAAATTAGGATAGCTGTGACAGAATGTGGTTTTGCTCTGTTCTCAAGAAGAAGGACCTCCTGTAGCCCCAGCAAAGCTGCAGTCTCTGACTGAAAGTACTTGACTCTTTGACCAATAGGTTGTGGATAAGATTTGAGATGTTCTCCATGATGTTCAACAGTTTATGCAGCATCCTTATCTCCACAACCAGTCCAGAAGCTCCAGAGAAGTCCCCGGCACCGAGTCAGTCTTAGTAATCAGTTTGTTCAGTTTGCTGGTGTCGCTGGCTCTGATGCTGTTGTCTCAGCAGATAGTAGCAAAGAATCTTGCACTTGTCAACAACAGGCGATTGCAACATCTCACAGAATCTAAGCTTCTTCAGAAAGTAGAGTCTGCTCAGTCTCTTCCTATAGACAGACTCAGGAATTATATAAAACTTGAAAAATGAAAGGTAATTTACAGGACTAAATAAATAAATACCAGTTTTTGAAAGGGGTAGGGGCTGAGTGATAACAAAAACAGATCTTTACTCTATGGAGTATTGAAGCACCACTTCTAGGAAATTGTGGTAACTTGCTAAAAAACAAAGCATATGTTTCAAATGTTTCTTAACAATCAGCTATGCAGTTATTTTGTGGAGGAGGAAATACATCCATCACATTTGTCAGATGACCTTATATTTTTATTTTGCCATTGCCTCTCTAACCGTAACTGCCTTTTGGATAAGAACACTGAGAGACAGAAACTTCTCGTGTAGTATAAACAAGAGATTCTGCTCTGTAGGCCCATTTAGACCAGTGTTTAAGCTGTTCATATGGTCTAAAAGGTTTAAGGTCAAAACTACATTTCTTTCTAAAATAACTTTGCTCCAGTTTAACTTATTCCAGTGTGAAGTAAATCATAGTTTGCAAAGTAGTTTCCCCGACACTGCATAAAGACACAAAATGTTAATTATTTCTCTTGTTTAAAGTACTTCAGAGGGCACTATTAATAGGAAGCAGTGGATCACATAATAATCCTTGGGAAAAATAGAGAAGTTAAGAACATTAACCCTTCATTTACTTGAAACATCAATGTCCGGTATGCCATGTTAAATAAATGTTAAACAAACACTTAAATGTAGGCAGTTTAAGGCTACTTAACCCAGTAATTAATACAGCGAAATGATTCATAGACACAGCACAAGGATGCGTGCGAGGAACGATGTAGCCACCATTTAACCAGGTTCTTGCGGAACGCTAGCTGTGTTTTTACAGTTCCACTACGGACGAGTTAAAAGGATACACTATTTTGAGCTTCAATAACCAATGGTGGCTGACAGAAGGGGTTGTTCGTGCTGCAGTTGAATTAGAGACGGTAAGTTAAGTCAAGTCAAGTCAAGTCAAGTCATTCATTAGTAAAACCCGTTTGCTGACTGGGGTTTAAACACGTTTGAATCCAGTTCAGTGCCAACTGTTATGGACATTGTCGAAACTTGATGCTGTGCGTGTAGGCTATAATGGAAAAGTTGGTGTCCAGGCGAAGTTAATTCTCTGTTATGAACTCATTTGTAAGACAGGTGCAGTGTAGGTTAAAGATTTATTGGTGTTGCACAGGATTTTTTTTTTTCTCAAGATGAAACAAACTGGCGTTTTACAGTTACTGTTAGTTTTACATCACTAAAGATACAATCATTCAAAAATATATATGTAGAGTGATGCTTATGCTCACAAGCCTTGCAGGGCCCATTTTAACCAACCATCTGGCCCCTTTTACCCAGTTACCATCCACTTACCATAATTGGGGGCATCTCATATTTATATTGTTTCAGGATTTAATTATTTTAGTTATTTTACACATGGTCAACTTGTCATTTTGACACATTTTGAGACTTTTCTTTATCTCTTTACTGTACCAGAGTCAAATTCCTTGTGTATCCAATACACCTGGCCGATAAAGCTGATTCTGATTCTGATTCTTTACTTTGGGGGTGTGAAATTATGTAAACAGGTTTATTTTTAAAAGTCTAAACAAGTATCCAAAAAGTGGCCCATTTTACCCGATTTCACATCCCAGGTCTCTTATATGCACCAATGTATCTTTTCCTTATGTATTAGTTCTGCCCAAGTAAGATGCAAGGAAAAAATGTGAGGAAAGAGGACTTGAGGAAGCATGTTTAGAGAGATATGAAATGCCCTTCTGTCCTTTATTATCTGAAGCGTGCAGTCATCAACTGATATCCAAAAAAGTGATGTTGGCCCACAAAAGACAAATGAAAGATGTTCTTCTGTATCTTCCCTTACAGCTCCTCTTGCAGCCTCCTTGCTCCTCAGTGTTTGTGACAGAATAAAAGAAGTTTTGGTTTTGCTGTATTGATTCTTTTTTTTTTTTTTTTTTTTGACCAGTTTTGATTAAACAAATACCAGTAGTTACTCCCAACCTGTGTGTGTGTGCACGCCCTGTCTCCCCAGGTACTATTCTAAGACCATGAATGATCAGCCATGGACCAGATCACTTTTAATCATGATACGGTGCTGTCAGAAATTCACATGCTGCTGCCCAATGCACGCCGCCTTATGACACGCCTCAACTGTGTTGGACAGCCTGGTATGTATGTTTAGTTTTAGACCTGCTGTTTTCTAATGCACATGTGGTAGATGGGGTCATAGGAAATAAAGTTGTTTGAATCCAAGCACTAATTTTATTAGAGCTACATTTCTTAGTCATGCATCAAATTCACAACGTGACAACACAACTCACAGGCTAAAGACACAGGCTGGAACTACTAATCAAATAGGCGAACTAGGTCAGTCAGTTTGAGGAATTGTGTTATCGCACATAAACTGTCAGTAAATATCATTACAGCTAACAATAGTTTTGAATAGAACTGCAATTATTTGTTTACATAAAATTAATTTAATTAATTTCTTTATCCATATTTTGAGGGGAAAAGGGCAAAATTCTGTAATATCTGCCTCTCCAGTGCGAGTATTTTTGTGTTAACAGAGTATTTTTGGATTTTGGACAGTTGTTTGAAGCAGCCAAGACATTTGAAGATATCAAATTGATCTTTTAAAAAGCTTCCCCTTTTTGGTGATGACGTATAGACTAGAGATGCACCGATTGCAATTTTCTTTGCCAATTTTGATTTCCAGTGTTGACCCGCCAATTCCAGTTTTGGCTGATTTCAATTTTCTTTCTTCTAAGAACTGTAATTGACAGCATACACACTTTTATTTAATGAAAAATTAAATTGTTATAAATATAAAATCTGTTATAAAGTTTTACATTTTCTTTCTGTCACTCTCACACAAAGCTCCAACTAAAAATGAAGTGCATTATTTGTACTTCTCCACATATAAACAGGTTCTACAGGTAATAGAAACAGACTGTTCTGTACATCAGTCCTACTGAGTGCACAGTTATTTCTGAAGTGTGTATAGTTTGTATTTGATGTGTTTTCAATAATGTAATCAGGAAAGTATTGGATAAGGCAACAAGGGGCATATTTTCAAGCTACATTCACATTACATGCAAGTTCACATTATGTCGCATTACAGGTGACTTAAATCCATTTTTTTTTCTCTTTGAGGGATTTTTTTTCATGAAAGTTTGAACAAAACAAATCAGTTTTAAAAAAAATATCAAATCTGGGTCACTTGCAAATGTGGTCCTAGATCCAGTCTCTGACTATGCGAACACTGCCAGAACAGATCATATTTCATAGCAACTGTCGCCATCATTCAGTGTTGGACCCTTGCTGACTGGTTAAAAATAAACACAGAGAAAAGGAACAACGGACGGGGCCAGTGGAAAGACGAGGAAGTTTCACATTTGAATTTTTAGGAAGAGCCGTTTGATACTGCCAAACTAGAAAGAACATACTGTAAATGAGCAGTTATTTGAGGAAATTGTGATTAAACTGTAGCACAAATGATGTTTTTATTATTGTTATACTCATGCCTGGCAGTTTGGGAGCTCAAGATGTTAACACATCGACCAGAGCACGTCACTTGTGAACCATCAACACAAAAAGTTTGGAATTTATCATTAAGACCTGTAATGTGGGTTATACAGAGAGCTGTTTGGCATTTAGCCCAACCTCACTGATAAAAATTGGGTGGACAAAATAACAGCCCTCTGTATGATGCAGTACACAGTAGTTTAGGAACAGCACAAACTCCAGCCTCCATAATCATCATACAGTTGAATCAATATCCAGCAATCAAGACCTGAAAAGCCAAACATCCGAGTTTTCCACCTGTCATTAAACCGCCATGCATTTTTAGATCTCGGAGTGAGAAAATATTCTTAAAACCTCGCATGCAAGCGTAACGTGATTTGTGCACACACATCTAATAATCTGTAAATACAAAGAATGTTTTACACAAACAAACACACAACACACTTCATGAGACACACATCGGTTTTTACACATTTATAATCTTGACTATATTTGCCGAATACACCTTTGTGGCTAGTTATGATAGAATTTTACCTCCATAAATCAACACCTCATTGAAGCAGTATGAATACAAACTGAACATCATTGCCTTCATGAAGGAGGATTTATTACAGGACTGTTGGATTAGACTGATTTAATTGGAGCTAGGTACATTATTAGGTTTCTAGACTAATGAAGTTCATTTATGACAAGTAATTTGAAGATGAAGATAATGCATCTCCTTGCGCTGTATGAAAGTGCATAGTCTCCACATCGCACTCCCTGAATGTTATGTTGTGTTAAAAAACAATGTATGGCTTGAGTTACATTTCATCACTACAATAACCTGTTTTGAGTTAAACTGATGCGGTTGTTTAAAGCTGTCACAGAGAAACTCTGACTCGCCTTCAGTTGCTCCTGTCCTCTGTGTTGTGAACGCTGCTGTGAATGTTAGGCACTAATCAAAGTCTTTGATGAGCTCAGATTTGATGTATTTACTGCTGTGCTGCCTAGTTTAAAGTGCCCATGGCATGCTCATTTTGCTCTTTACAGCCATATAATGTTTAATCATGGGTATCTCTAGATTAGCTTTGGACCCCTCATCACTCCAAATTGTCTAATTATTTAATATTATTATTATTAAAAAAAATTATTAATTAATTATTAATAGGGAGCCTCTTCCTAAAAACGAGAGGATAGTTGATGAATGCACACAACTCCAGTTGCCGGTGTTGTCACAAGTGCACAGCAGAATGAACCACGACAGCATTAATTAATTTGAATTTCTCCTCCATAGATAGGTAAACAATGGTATAGGTACTGATGAAAAGAGATTTGTAAGACTCTAGACAAAGCGGGTAATTGGGAAAACCCCATATTTTAACTGGCATAATGCAGAAATGGTAATTTCTTTAGCCTTGCAACAATTCTCTCTAACGTTACAGAAACAAGGCATTAATAGACATGCAATGTGCGTTTTTTTTAAACTTACCGTTAAGTCCCACCGGGTAGTGGAAACATCACTCCCTTTCAAGTAGCTCCAAGGTCGATGAATCCAACCGGTGGTCACTGCGGCTTCCCCCAAACGACCACATACAGTCCCAAAGTAGTGAAGTTAATTCCAACAGGTAAGGTCGCGCCAACAATAACATCATGGATCATTAATCTGCTCATTAATCAGCAACACATCACATGCAGCAGACACACTGGCCTCAAGCAGTCAAAACAAAGAAGTACTGTGCTCTGGGGGAATCCAGCATTGATGAGTAGATCACTAACCGTGGCGGTGGCTTCACTGGCCGGCTGCTTGTAGGTTAGACCCTGTCAGGTAAAACAGCCAGTCTCTGTACACCAACCTTTCCGAGTAACCTCAGGCCCTGTATTTTTCTCCACACCCTCTGGTCATTAAATAAGATTTATTCAAAATATACGCAACAAACAAGGCAATATAACATTTTGCCAGTATGGTGGGGCACTGGTGGATGTCAGGCAAGCTGGCATGAAGGCACATCTGCCAGGAGATTATGACCATTCAAGGAAAACCTTAAACTATTGTGTAATACTTAATTTTGTTAGGAAAAAAAAGTCTCGCAAATGAGATTTTGCAAGATATGTATAAACCGAGTTGCTTCTGCATAGAAATACTAGAACATACTTACACCTCATTTTTTGAGCTTTAGGTCACATCTAAGATTATAATTCACCATTGTAACATTGTAAATAAGTCAGAAAACAAGGAAAAGCATGTCATGGGCTCTTTAAATTCCTGTCTCACACAGTGTGGGAAGATGTTGAGTTATTACTTTCATGTATAGCTTGTTTGCAGTCAAAAATGCGGAAAAAAATGTTTTAAAAATTGTTTATTAAATTGCCACTGTGATATTGCTCTAAAAATATCACAATTAGATTATTTTCCCAGATGGCTAAACCTTTTAGTCAACTATGTTTCACTTATTGGCCAAAATTGTTCACACAAATTAAACGGCTAATGTATTATCTTTTCTGTATTCATCCATCCAGTCTTCATCTCCAAATTCAAGCTCTTCTCAGATGGTGAAGCACATGACAACAGTGATCCAAGGAAAGGTTTAGAGGAGGAATATGATAACTCGAGGGAACATGGGGAAAAAGACATGAAGGCTGCCCTAGGAAATGTGGAACCATTGTTGGATGAGGATGGAGACCTTGACATCACGCAGCGGTATGGAAAAACTCTTGTTCAGTCAGCAGTTAATGCATGCAGAGCTGTTCTGTGAGGGCCATAGCCATAATCAAGGACATGGCTGTTTTGAGTGCCACCATAGGTGGCCAGATGTCTAGTAAGCTCCACTCACGCTCTGCCTCTTTGCTCATTTTTGGAATAGTCGTAGCAGGCAGAATGAAGCACTACCATTATGGCGGTGGCCAGACTTGAGCTTCAAAACTGCTCTTCAGAAAATTTATGGATGACGTTCCTGTGGGTTTGTCCATCTTTTATATACAGTCAATGATCTGCCCATACTTGTACAGTATAGCTACTAATGTGCATCATTGCACACAAAACATGGTGCCTGTACCATGAAGTGAAATTGGGAAAATAATCTAATTCTGAGTTGTTGTTGTTGTTGGTTTTTTTTTTTTAGATATATTTTGTATTTATTAAATATTTATTAGCATTAAATTGCATTTCTATTTTTCAGTTTTCTCTCTAACTACTTATTTAAATATAGGCTAGACAGTGTGAGATTAGAATTCAAACTGGTCAGTAAAGTTGTAAGTACAGAACAGGCATAGTTTCTTCTGTCATTCATAAAATTTTGCTGATCTGAGCTCATCACAGACTGAGTATTCTGATGAAACCAGAGCAGAAAACGAAGCTATACAACATCACCCTGCTAAATAAACTCGGACTAGTTTCCTTCTTACTTCCTCTTCCATAGTCTAAACCTTATGATCCCCCAGGCCGAGGAAAAATACTGAGGCTAGCAGCCGAGAAGTGGTCTGTCCTGTCATTCTCAAACAGTCCGGCCTTGTACTGGAACAAGAAGAGGAGAATCCAGATGATGAAGCTGATAAATGCCTCAAAGACATTATAAGGATTGGTAAGAACCCAGATCTAATCATGTTCTTTTTTTTTTTTTTGATCATCCTGGTTGTGACTAATACGCAAAAGTAAATCAGTGTTTGGCTCAAAAACAGACTTTTCAACATAAGGTTAAATATCCTTAAATAGATACAGAATTCGCCATCAAATTCGTGTAATGTTAACTCAAGGTTTTCCCATTAAATCCTAGAAATGATAGTTGCTCTCAATTGTTCCCATGTTCTCTTTTTTTTTTTTTTAACTTTATCTGGGAAGAATCAAATCTTATCAGTGTGATTTTTTTTTTCCATATGAAAAATAAACAATAGAAAATTGGAAAAATTCAAGTCAGTTGTCTAAAGTTGTATATTTCATTTGGCAGATCAAAGATTTTGGACTTTTTTTTCTTTACATATTAAATATTATAAAAATGGAAAATAGTACTTGAGAAAACCTGAGTACTTTCATCTTTGTTCAAGCCTAGAATTGCTTGGGAGGACAGTCCAACTCTCACCCACTGTCACATCTGTTTTCAGTGATTCCATTCACTCCCTTGATTGTCAAGAAAATGTTCTTATTTCTGTTGCTAAAGAAACTAATCCACAACATGTTGGATTAGGTGGATTTTTTTTCTAGTGAATAAGTTACATGTTCAAAAAATGTTTAGGATCTTTGGAGAATTTTTACATGAAATTAATGCATGCCACAAATAGTATAGCAAATAAACTAACAATGGGTGCTTTCCATTCAGCTAACAATGCTTCCTCACTTTGGCCAAGAAATTGATCAAGGTTTCATCATAAAGGGTGTTTCAATCTGTCCCAGAGGAGCTGGGTATGTCTCATGTCTCTTATAAGATAGTACCAGAGTAGCCATGATCAAGGAAACACAAGACCATCAAAGGGGTTTTTTTGTGGACTGACATGCCCCTTTATCTGAAATCAAGGATGTTTTATTCATTGGACAGCAGTGCTCTTTCAGAATTGTATTGATTGGTCAGCTGATCTAATGGGAGTGTAAACAGAGTGGCTGGGCTGTTGTGGACTATTAACCACTTGTGGAAACAGGAACACCAGAACCAACTGTGGCTCTAATATTATTCATGCTTATTAATTCTGTTTTGTCTGAATTAAACAAGTTTTAGTTTTTTATGTGTTATTTTTATCAGTCACAGTCTATGATAGCCTGACACTGCATATATCTACAGTATATCAAGTGTTGGAGTTGTCAGGTACCTGGTGTTCTTCTTTTAAACTGTTTCTGGATTATTTCTACACATTTCACACCTGTGTAATATGATGATTGAGGCTGCCATGGTTGCGGCAAACGTACAGTGTTAGGAGGAACTGCTCAGTTTACACACAGCTTTGCTCAGGTAAACCCTCTACTGCACTGTGGTATTGGAATGTGATGTAACATCCCACTCCATTGAGATTTTACCGCACACTTCACCCCTCAAATGTTCAGTGAATGATTAAAAAAGCAGGTAACAGGTTGAGGAAAACACAGTATAGTGCTATACAATTTAAAAAAAAGAGTGATTGCAGACACAGCCAATGTGTTTATTTCATGAATACAATCTATTTACAGAGCACACTATGGCCACACCCCTGGAGGATGTCGGAAAACAGGTCAGTTAAACGCATTCAGACGAACTCTTTCTTCCCAGTTGTTGCCCCTTGCTTCACAATTAGCTCTCCCACTTTGGATTCCTCAGTCACATGACATGTAGTGGTTTCCCAAAACAAATCCTCAGTGATTTACAGCTGTTCACTGAAAAGCCCACAGCCAGTACAAGAAAATGACAGTACCTGCGTCCAATAAAACTACAGCTTGTGTAAATGTCAAGGTTACAAAGAGCACATCAACGCCCTTTGCTGTCAAACCTATTTGCCCATGTTTCACTCTCTTCCTGTGTTCTCCGATGGTCTTCATTCACCTTGCAATAAATCCTCATTAAGCTAATCATATCCAGTTTTTGGTTGTGGTCAGGGAGGTGGAAACTGAGCTCTATGGTTTTTATGTTTATAAATCATGCCCGATTTCATGTATTTTGTACATAAGCTGAGCTGTAGTGTTGGGGAGTAGTGAAGTACATGTAATTGAACTAGCACTTTAACTACATTTTGCAGTAGCTTACTGGTACATCCATAGTTGTGCAGTGACTGAAGTAGGTAAATTACATTTACAAGTACTTTTGGCCCATAAAAGGAAATGAAATTAATTTTTTTATTTTGTTTTACTATTGCTTCTCTAAATCTAACTGCCTTTTGGATAAGAACTTAAGACAAACTGCCCATGTGTCGTATTAGCAAGATATTCTGCTTTTAAAAGCAGTAGTGATAAATGGGCCCATTTAGACCAGTGTTCAAGCAGTTCATATGGTCTAAAGGTTTAAGTGATGTTGCAAAATTTGACAAGTAATGTAACAGGCTTTTATACTTTGGGGTTTTTTTTGTTTCAGGTAAATAAAATCAACTGTGGTATTTCTTGCTGGCATATGAGGTTTCTTTAGTTATATTTTGTATCAGATGTACATGGTCAGTTTAATCATTTTTTACAAAGTAGTTTAAACTACTTTTTCTAAGTAACTTTATTTTACCAAACTACATTTCTCTCTAGAGTAGCTTTTCTGTAGTTTAACTTCTTCCAGTATGAAGTAATTGATAGCTTGCAAAACTACATTTTCAAAGTAGTTTCTCCAACACTGCTGAGCCACAAAGTTCTCCAGATGGCCTAAAGATTCTTAGTGCTACTGTGTACATATGTGTGTATCAGGTATATGAATAATCTTAATGGAAAACTTAATGAGGAACTGTGCCATTAATTATCATGGTTGATAAGAAGGTATTAAAGGGTTATGTACTGTATTTCTTGTTCATGTCAGGTGTGGCGAGGGGCGTTCCTCTTGGCTGACTTCATCCTCTCTAGGCCGCTCATGTTCAGAGGAGCTACAGTCCTAGAGCTGGGAGCGGGAATAGGCTTAAGCAGCATCATCATGGCAACTGTAGCCAAAACAGTATACTGCACAGGTATAATGCCCTCAAGCAGATATCCTGATTACCATCTACTTTGATTGGCTATTGTATGTCTTGTGTTTTAAGATGTCACACTGACAAGGTAAACATGCATGACTCATTTAGAGACATGTTTCTTTCATTGCATAAACCATTTTATGCACCACAAGAGTTTGTTCTGATCTGCTTCCATCCCACTTCTGGCCTGTGTTAGCACCTTGGGAGAACAGCTTACCATCATGGAGTAAATATACGCAGAGTCTCAAAACTTGGCTACAAACTGAAGGAGAACACTTGAAGTAACAAAAACACTCTGGACAGCTGCGGCACTATGTTAAAGGCTGCCTGCTAATGAGAAGGAGCTTGGCTGTGTAACCTTCATGAAGGCCACACTAGGTGCCAGTGGAGACTTGTGGAGCTGAGTTGAAGCCCTCTTCTAAATTCAGTGCACCTAACAATTAAGTGTGCTCCTCTGCCCTTTGCAGGGAATCAGGATAGCTATGACCTCATGTAGACATTTTACTGTTTGCTTACTGTATACTCCTGAAAGACTGTATTTTGTTTTATAGATGTAGGAGAAGACCTTCTAAGCATGTGCAAGAGAAACGTAACATTAAACAAACACATGATGGAGCCTACAGGTGAGATAACGTTTTCCTCACTTACTTCCCTGTACACTTCATTTGGTGTGGGCTACCTATGATGAGCCTACTCTATAACATAAGAAATTGATATTATACTTTTTATTCAGCAATGAAAAGAATAAAGACCTAAAAATAAGAGTGTCCTTGCAAACTATCAGGCTTAATAAATAGGCTGCAGAGCGCTCTGCCTAAGAACAGAAATTGATGAGAATTTTTTTTATTTTTTGGAGATTCACAAGAAGATAAGAGGGAGCAGCCATTATTTTCTTCCAAGTCCATTTCTATTGCAGCTTGTGGAAAAAAAAAAAACAAAAAAAAAAACAAACACATTTTCCTTCCGCTGGAAGAACATTAGCATAAAAACCTTTTCTGTCCAAATGACAAAAAGCCATCACTTTAACAGATTTAACTGTTGTCTGTGCTTATGTGTCAAACAACAGTTTAGAGTATTAAGCTTTCATGGAGACTCTGGGAGGCATGACCTGAACTAGAGTGGTGTTGTATTACTAGACTTTGGTGCTAGTCATGGATTGGGTATAACAATCATCATGTTCAAATATAGGGTGATTCACAAGTGTACTTGGTACCAGAACAACTTAGGCCTAAGAGCGATCATCAACTTTTGTGGTTGTATCATCAGATTTGTGGCTGTATGTTTTGGACAGTTGAAGAGACCCTATTTTTTGTATGTTGGCACACTTTTTCTTCTCTTGTTTTCTCGGTCATCTTGTTTACTTTTCTACTCGTTGCTTTATGGAAGAACATTGTACATACACATCGAGAGCCGCTGTACCAGAGTCAAATTCCTCGTGTGTCCAACACACCTGGCCAGTAAAGCTGATTCTGGTTCTGATTGACTGTAGAGCACAGTGAAGACCCAAGAAAAGCTTCTGACAGCTTGCCTGGCTTAATGTTTTTTCTAACCAATAGGTGGTGAGGTGAGAGTGAGACAGTTGGATTGGCTCCAACGTGACCTCTGTACAGGTAACACACACTCATTCATTTATGACAATTTCACCAAAAACTAAAACATTTTGAGCTTCATAAACACAGATGTTCAGGTAGAAGTGTTCCACTGAATTGCATACAGGTGTACCTGATAAATGTTATTAGATACACCAAGTTAAAATTAAGTCAGTCTAATTCAACAGTGCTCAGAGATGTGTTCGTTCTGGAGGATGTAGCTTGTGCTACTGTTGAACTGTACTGTGTTATATTGACAGGTGTTTCTATTATTTTGTCCACCCCATTTATATAAATAACAGACTTTTCATGACTCCATCAAAGTGATGACCTGGTCCTTCTTTAACGCTGATAAATAGCATAACTAAACAGCACTCGGAGAGCGCAAACCTCCTCCAAGGTACCTCGCTGTCCCTATAATTCTATTAGACCTAAAAGTAGCACAGCTAAGCATGTTCATCACAAGGCACCTGTAACATACAGTCAGCAGCCTTTCTGACATTCAAATTCACAGTGGTGAAGAATCTTTAAAAGGATTCCTGGATCCAGATGATGATCCAGATCAGTACCAAAATATAATGGGGTGTTCCAAGGGCCATACCTTACCTCTCCAAAATATTTCATCGAAATCCATTCATAACTACTCAAGTTATGCTGTGAACAAACCAGCAAACGCCAGTAAAAGCATTATTCTGCCACTGGCTAAGGTAATAAATACATACAGTACATTCCCCAATGGTTGATCATACACTGTTTCTGTTGTTAAAAAAAAAAAGCTAATTTCAGCCTGAACACAAAAGGAAAAAAGCACTAAATGTAAGTGTGTGCCTAAATATTCTCTCATCATTGTTTTGTGACTATATTGTGTGGCAACATTTTCTGTGATGTGAATATATCTTCTTTATCTTCTAAACTAGCCTGTTTGTGCCTGTTATTACCATTACATTTGAATTGCATAGCAAACATTTGTTTTTCTGTTAAAGAATCCCTGGTGATCTGTGGGAAAAAATACACATAAATATATTTGAAATACTTTGTCTTCAGAAACCTCAAAGACTTTTCTACAAATTTGGATAGAAAAAATTCCACTCCATCTGTTGCAGAATCACAAAATAAAAACGGATTCACAAGTTGATTCACATGAACTAAAATTTCACATTTTATTATTAGTTATATTTGCCCACTAATGTTATTACAAGCCTGAAATAAAGTACCTGTATTCCATCTGTCCTGGAACGGGGATTTGTTGCTTCTCCTGAGGCTTCTTACATTTTTTTTTTTTCCACATTAGAGGGTTTTTCAGGGCAGTGTTTTCCTATCTGATTCAAGAGTCCAAGGACAGAAAGTGTCATATGCTCTAGAAATTATAAAGCCTCTTAAAGCAAATTTGTGATTTGAGATATTTGAATAAATAAATAAAAATTGACTTAAAGTGTCTATCCAACATTTCAGACATAGAAAATTGAAAAAAATAAATCCAAAATCTTAATTAGGCCTATATATTGATCTGGTAAATGAAAAATACAACTTTAGGACTTTTCTTTTTTTAGGAATTCAATTTTCTATTGTTCAACAGGTCAGTAATAACAGCTTGGACTAATATAGTACTCGGTGAGTAAAGTGAGGCTACCAAGGCTGACAGTGTCAAACAGGCTTGGACGACCTTCCAAAGTCTCCCACAGCTTGTGTGTGTGACTTGCTGCTATTAAAAGAACCACCTAGCTTCTGATGGTAGAAATTGTTTCCCTTTCAATTTGTCTAATCTTTGTAGATGCTGACGTGGAATTTAGCTGGACAGAGGAGGAAGTCGCAGATATGTATAACAACACTAGCGTCATCATTGCTGCTGATGGTAGGTATAATATTAAGTGGCTTTGATGTTTGGTGCTGTCTTTGGGAGCACTTGGAAATGTGTTGCATTTGGGATGAAAATTGACCACATCAAATCGTGGTTTGTTGAATGCTACGACATCACTGATTGTTGTGTGGTTAGATGAGCACCATGGGTCAAATGTTCTGACATTTAGGTTTTCTCCCATTCTATCATCAATCTAAGAAAACCTCAGTTTGTTTTTTTTGTTAGTTTTTTTTTTTTTTTGTCACACCCTTGGAATTACTGGGATGTGTTTGAGGCCCTAGTCAGAAGGCATTTGGTTGGAAAGCCTGTGTTCTCTCCACAGTAGCCTTTTTCTTATGGTACCCTCAATAAAAGGTATAGAGAGAAGGGAGAAGGCACAGAAAGGCACCAGGTTAGCCGGGGATTGAAACCTGGAACACTGATGCTGTGAGGCGAAAGCGCTAAACACCATGCCACCGTACTGATAAATCATTCCTTTAAATTAAAGCTACAACCAAAGGCTATTACAGATAAAGTGCTCATTGTGAGTGTTTTTTCTTTACCTTAAAACCAGATAAAACATAAGACATTTTCTTCCAAAAATACTGTATTTTTAACATGCATCTAATCTATTAAGTGCTTTAAAAATATTAAATATTACAATGAAATAAATATATTAATCTATTGTTTTATTAATTGACCTGTCTGTACCGTGGCAAGACTCCTCAAAATACTATTTCTGCATCTGAAAAACATTTTTAATGCTTACAAAAAAATCATTAGTTTTAAACTAACCATTAAATGTCATGAAAACACTAGTTTAAACAGGAAAATGTCTGGATTTCTCCCCCTTGACAGGATGAATTTTGCCGTCTCATTCTATGTAAATGTTGAAAGAAGGACCAGTACTCAAGAGTTCCCATTTGATGCCGTTTACTTTGAGCTCGAGTGAGATTAACAGCAACATGGATACATGAAGCATAAACATACATTGTCTCACACTCTTCCTGTCTCTAGAAACTGTGCTGTACAGGTGGCTGGAGAAATCTTTGGCGTCCGTGTCCTGACTCTAGCCTACTTCACCTTTCATGGTGATTCTAATATCATACAGTATCTTCTACAGCGCTACAAACTCAGACATAGGGGCTCCATGGACTCCTGCACAAACTAGGAGTAGGGTTGCATCTAAAATACACATTCACTGTGTTGTTAACTAATGTTGAAGATGTCTTAGCTATTCTTGACATACTGTATGACCACCTGTTGTTCCACAGAATACATATAGATGTTGCAATCCGGATCTCATGAAATTGCTAACACTCCTGCTGTGTCTAGTAAAACTCAAGACTTGCGACATGGCAGGGTAACTGTAGACTGTCTGGCAGCGTGGAAGCCATTCCAGTACTCCTCACATTTATATTTGAAAAAGGAAGCACAAACACGCTTCCCATTCACGTCATGATGAAGAATCCTTAGCTGGAGAAATATTTTTTTTCCTCTGAAGGGACTAAAAGAAATATGCCCCATAATTGAATGTGTGTCCAAACATGTCCTCATTCATGAAGTGTGGCATCTCAGTTTCATTTAGATTGATGGCAAAATAACTTGAGCTACTGAACAGTTGGCACATAGTTAATGAATCAGACTCATCATTCCAATTGCAGCTCCAACATTAGTCTTTAGCACTGCAATGTGAAACACAGAATCATACCTTGCACATGCCCAGATTGGCAAACAAGCAGAATACATATTTGGATTTGTGTTTTTTGTGTCACCAGTTTGCTACGATGATGATCTGACGGATGGATTTTTCCGAACGCTTTACCAACTCTGCAGTAGCTTTACTCACACCTGCATGATTTTCATCTCCATTGAGAAAAGGTAAGAAGAAAACATTTGAATTAAACCCTGCAGTTCATCCTTTGTTACAGTAACACATAACCCTCAGGTGTTCACATGAAACTGTGGTGAGAAAGGAAAAAGTAAGCTGAGAGAGAAGTTGAAACCTTGCACAGCTAGACATTCACAACATGAACAGGGTGTGACAGTCATAGCACTGGTTTTGTCAAGTGGGAGGAGGGGATTTAATATACAGCATAAATGGTTTGTTAATTTTTTTTTTTTTTTACTAGCTTCCCCCATTCTTAGCTGTACTTGATGGTAGCATAGAATGCTATCATGCATGTGTTGGCATGTTATTTTAAAGCAAGTGTTGCACTTAAAGGTAAGGTAATGTTACATTTGTACCTAAATGTAATGATGAATGTGGTATTACCAGGTAAGGATATTCATATTCATCCAGAACAGGATAGAAAAACAAACTGACCTGTTAAACTATTTAGTGGCAGAGTTGGTGTCACAGCTTTGTAGATAGAATTTTGTGAAGTTCAGCAACAAACTTGCTTTTTCCAAATTACCTGCACATATAAGACATACAGCATTTCTCCATATTGATAACCTGCCCTTCTTATTTGTCTGTCTGCCTCAACCAGAGGGAAATAGAGCTTGTTTTGTCATTGCGGGATTTGCTCATGTCTGTGAGGTATAAGCCAGTCCATTCATTCAAGCTTTCCTTTATGCATGCTGTTGGGTGAAGCGGCACTGATGCATTTCCGGTTCCATCCTCAAGTCAGGTAATCAGGTTTCCCTTTGTGTCTTAATGTCTTATAAGGATGAACTTCACGCTGCGACACATGGATGTTTCCTGCGAGGCTTACGACCATTTCACCCAGTGTCTGTCCCAGCTCCAGGACTTAGTGGATGGACGATGCAGCTTCAGAGTGCAGCAGCTCTGTTCTAACTTTGCACAATTTCTTCAGTATGAACGTGTAGAGCAGCTGGTAAGGAAAACGCACATATTTATATCCTACTTTAAACAAACCTTAAACTTAAAGCTTAACTTCATTTAAATCTAAAACCTGAATCCAGCTCATATACCATTCAGACTACATGATAAGTCGTTAATTCCATTACAGGCCCCTGTATGAGACAACTAGTTAACTTTGTGACCCTGTGGAAAGAGAGATTACAGTTGAATTACAGTGCTCATAGTGTATCCAAGAGGGGGCAGTTAGCCTTAGCACTGTCTCTCTTCTGGGTTCAGCTCTTATCAGCCAGAGTCCGGTTACTCTTCCTGAGTTGAAGTTCTATGCATATACCTGTATCCTAACAGAGTGTGGCAACTCTAACTTGAGTCCTATGCTGATACTGACCTGTTATTTGGTTAGTTGATTTTTAGTTTTGTGTATACTATACTCCCCTCCTCTCCCGCTGAGAGATGTTGTTACCCACTGTGTACTGTTTTCACTTGTTAACCATTAAATCACTTATTCACCATAACCTCCTCATCCAGCATCTGCACTAGGCTTCTTTTATACAAAAACATAACACACCGTCTTAACACAGTGTACTTGGGCCTGTCTTGGCACTGGGCATCTCCAGGCTCACTTATTAGTTTGGTTAATGTATGTGCAGCAGCATGAAGTAAAAACACGCTGGGTGAAAGTGAATATACTGTAAATCAGAGGGTGTGGTAACTAATTTACTCTCAGCCAGTCACATTACGAGTCCCATTACTCTGAAATAGCGAAACATGGTAGCATGCAACAAGAATAGTTAAACCAATAAAGAACCAGCTTCTCAAGTGAATATTGTTGTCTGAATGGTGCCAAGAGGGGTATCGCACTATAGTGAGGGTAAAAAGTGCTGCGAGACTGTCAGCAGTAATGGTGAAGAGAGACCTGAGCCGGAAGGCGAAGCTTTCAAATTTACCAGTCCACGTTACAGCCCTCACCTAAGGTTACAAGCTTAGGGTAGCCACTGAAAGAATGAGGTTTCTAAAACAATCAGCCAAAATGGGTTTTCTCTATAGCGCTGCTGGTCTCTGCCTTAGAGTTAGGATGTGAAGTTTGGACATCTGGGAGCTTGGATTAGATTAGCCGCTCCTTCCCATAGGGTGCCAAAAGGAGCTAGTTGAAGTCCTTGAGACCTTGAATCCTGGTTCTGCTCCTGAGCGTTCACTGGAGTTTTACCTGGCAAATCCAATTGGAAGGAGGCCCAAAGGTAGACCCAAAACATTCTAGAGAGATGATGTATTTCATATAGCCTGGGAATGTATCAGGGTCCCCCTGGAAGAGCTGATGAACATTGCTGGGGAGAGGGATGTCTGGACTACTGTGCTTAACCTGCTGGCACTGCAACTCTGCAGCAGCAGGAGGGACCTACTGAACTGCAGGAGAAGGTTATGTACAGTATATATTTGTGTGTGAGTACATATACACAGCATATATATATTACATTATTATCCATTTCTACAGGAGCTGTGGAAGGTCATGGCCACTCCACTTGCATTTGACAAAACCCTCTCTGATTCCTCTTCTTGACCTGGACTCGCATCAGAGCAGTGTGAACACTGTGCAGTCTTCACTGCCAGGCACACAGTTTGCTCCTTTCAGCAGCTGAAGGTTTAACATGTAAACTATAAAAGCTGAAGGCAACACTACCTGTTCCTATGTGAGTAGCATTTTTAAAAAATAATAATTCACTATATACCTGCATTTTGACAAAAGGAGTTTGTCAGGGAGTTGAAAATAAATGTATTATTAATTTAAAAATGGGTTAGCATAATTTATTTCTCAACTTGATTCATGCCTTCTTACATGGTCAGCTGTGGTTAAGACATTTTGAGGAAATGGAAGAACTCTAACTTTGTTAACTGAGAGTCACCTAGAGCTGCATGCCTGATTCAAAACCAAGTCGAATAAAGTGTTACCACAGGCTGAATGAAAACTATTGTTTGTTACTAGAATATGTTATCTAAATTCCACATGCACATTAAAGCTAGACTTCTGGTATTGTCCTATGAATTTGGTTGGGAGTCTGATGATTATTATTATTTAATATTGAAATATGATTTATTTAGAATAGAGTGGTCTCATTCTGCCTTTTAATTGTCCAGTGGTGCCATCTGGTGGTCCCATGATGTTCTTATGCACCATTTACCCCTTCTCTACCTAAAGAAGGAACCAGAATTCCATAATAACACTGGCAGTTTTTGTTCTGCGTGTTCATCTATCTGTCTGTGTGCACGCATCTGCTGCTGTATACGCCCACCCTTTCCTCTTTTTCTGCCTGGCCTCCCCCACCCTTTATTTCCATGGAGCTTACAATTGCCTCCTAATTGTTGTTTGGTAGTTTGTGAATCTGCCTGCCACTCCCCCCAAAAAAACATTCACACCCCCTTCAGTGTATGATGCCTGGAAAGTGGGGAAGATCAAGTAGAAGCAGGAGAAAGTGGCAAGAAACTACAGTGAAGACGGAGGGTTTCCAGCAGCCATAAGGAAGTCCCATATAGATGGATTTATAACATGGATACTAAAAAAAGAAATAACAGTGAATATAAAACAGTAGCATGACAAGGGTCTCCAAATGTAATGACAAAAAGTAATACGTTTCATTTCCAAATGGACTTAAGCAAAACGTAAAAGAAATAAACTACAAACTTAGCTAAGTACAACTATTTGTGCTGAGGTCTAGTTTAGGACATTATTATTATTATTATTATTTATATTAACTAGGAATTAGGCAAAGGCTAATTTTCTGTTTGAAGCTACATATAATTGTCTTTTGCCACTAGAAACAAAGGTCAAGAGTGTCTGAAGAACGCAGGTAAAGTGTAGCGCTGTTAAGTTTGGCAGTGAATGTTGTCTGGGTAATATTTTTCTACAGAAGGACACATCTGAAAACTGCCACAGCTTCCGGCGCCACACCCATGCAGTTAATTTCTGCTTCCAAAAATACATCAAGCAGAATCTGATTACCCAGTTTATTGTGCCAAAAATGTGTGAGTAACTAGGCTTCCTGTAAACCTGTTTTGCTGACAGACTCATTCAATAAAGTCATTACTGGACTTTACATGTAGTTGGCATGTTAACAGAGAGAATAATTTTGTTGTGCAGACAAGGCCATTTCATAGTTTTTACATTCACATGTCCAGTTCCCAATTCTAAACTTGTTGTTAACACTGCTCGGGGAAAGGGCTTGATAAAATTCTTGATGTTATGCCAGTGCCAAATGAATCTTGATGTAGCCACATACAGTAAACAGATATTAACTGTCATATATCTCACACTGCAGATCCATCTCCAGGCCATTTTTAAATTCATGAATAATTTAAGTTACATTTTACAACTGTAAGAAATTTTGCATGGTCTTTTCCCATAATGTACTCAATAGATCTTTTATCTGATCTTCTCTTACTGCTACATCTTTCCAGTGTGGCATCCCCAGTTTTAAAGTCTCTCAAGATAGTTTCTCTGACATATTAAACTTTTTCTAGAGCCACACAGGACATTAAACATTTTCACATGCCGAGTAGAAATAGTAGAAATCATGGCCCGGAAACCCGTCTTCATGGGCAACTTGCCACTTTATCTACTTGCTTCAAGACACTGACTGGTCTTATACCTCAGTCTTACATTAGACTTGATATTTTCAGTAGAACCAGGTATTGTAGCATTATGTTAAAAAAAATTCATCAAGAATGTATTGTCATGTGATTCCTGAATTCCACTCTTCTGAACAGGGGCCCACTCAACTCGAATACAGAACGACAACCTACACACACACCCACACACACGAGTGGACTACTGTATGTTTGAGCCCTAACTGACTCAATGCATTCCCAGACCTTAACCCAAACACTGCACTCAGTCTACAAGTAATTCACAGTTTAACCCAGAAGTAGCAATTTAACCTCCCCTCACCATCAGGTTTAATCAGCTTAGTTGAAAAATGAATGGACTTTGACCATTGTCTTTAGCTGCCTGTGGGTTCAGCCTGGAGAGTCTCTGAGAACAGATATGGGGTTTGTCCTACATCTAACAACCTGGGGGAAAAAAACACCACCTGAGACTCACTGAGAGCATGATAGAATGAGATGGGGAGAAATGTCTGAGGTTGGGCTGAGACCGTACATAATACAGTAGAATACATATAAAGCTGAAACTATAACAAGGTCAGACATGCAAAGCAAAAGAGACAAAGACAGACAAAGTGAAACAGAAAGACACCTAATGACAAACATAGAGAAAGCGAGAGAGACTTGGGAAGAGAGAGGATAAAACACAAATGGGCAGAAACAGTAAACAGAGTGAACATGTATGAAGATACTGTAGAAGTAAAAAGTGAAGCACACTGTCTCCTAAAAACTTATGCAGTGGTCATAGGTGCACAAGTAACCCAAATTAGATTGACATTTTTGCCAGTGCCTTCAAAAGTGATACAGTGTTAAAAGATAGACCCCACATGTAGCTTCCCACTGAGATGAAATTCCAGGAAAGTTGACTGGAAAAAGTGGCTGATACTGAACATTGCACTGTAGAGGTGAACGTGTCATGTCTCCTTTTAATTAAGGTGAGAATGTGAGTGTGCGTGTTGCACCCCGGCCTAGGGGTTACCTAGATGCACCATTGAAATGAGTCCCTTCTTCTCTGCACCCAGAAATGACCAACAATAACAGATTTAAGCCCTCTTAAATGGTATTTTATTTATTGTAAGTTTAATGTACCCACACAGGTCTCGGTGTCTGTTTGAGAACAGCCTCTCACCCTCAATCAGAGAAAGACATACGTACCCTCCGCTTGATTTATGCTTAAATAATGGGTAAGGTAATAATTATATATGCCTTATGTTTTGATAAATTATAAATATCAGCATAAATATTTAAATAGGCTGGATGGTTAAATATTGGTTAGGCTAAGGACAGTAATTCTGTGGCTGCCTAATGATAAAATAGACTGCAAGCTGCACTTTTTTATGACAGAAAAAGGCAGAGAGATGAGCCTTGCGTTTTGCAACCTGTAAAACGCACTCTGTCTGATTGGGGCCTTACGAGTCAAGAGTTACTGTGTTCCAGTAAAGACAGGGAAGAAGAAGACAGCAAGTTAGAAAACATGGATTTAAACAACACATAATGTAAAATAGTCATCCTGTATTCAACACATTAGAACTCATTGATATACACACCACTTTATCTAAACATAACTTGTTTGTTTACAACTCCACAAGCCCCCTTTAATCTGAACTTGTTTATTAGCCCCTGAGCTGTTGCTGAGCTGTTGCTGAGCAGTGTATAATGGTGTTCCCATTCCACACTCTGCTGGTGGATGTTGTTATATTCAATAAATAAGGCGGCAGCAACTATAAAAAGGTTGAAAAAAATAAATAAAGGGAGTTTTTAAGGTAATGCTATGCTTTATGTATCATATTCCCTCATGTCTAAGAGCCTTTCTATCTAAATTGCTTTGGTATGTGGTGCCTCAATTCCTTGGCCCTGACAATTCATTGCAGACATCAAGCACTGTGCAAGAAGATTCCTTCAGGCAAGTCAGAGCATGAGTAAACATACACACATTCGTAGACACACACACACACACACACACACACACACACACACACACAAATACTGTATAAACACAGGTGCCCCTTCTGGAACTATCAAGCATATCACAGGAAACAGGCAAATTAAGCAACTTCAGACAGTGAGAGAGTGAGAGAGGAGCCAAAACCATGTGACTGAATTCCCTGAGCCACCACAACATGTGTACAGTATACAGTACATGAGGGTGGGGGGTGCGGATCTCATTAGCCCAGCAGCTCTGAACCAGGAAGGATTAATGTCATTGTGACTTTTCATAGTTCAGGGGCTGTGCATATATATATAGATATATATGTATGTATGTATATGTATGTGTGTGTGTCCTTCATTTGGGGTTTAGTGGGCTCCCTAAAAACAAACACACTGACTCCCCATAGAAGCGCAGGAAAGCTGCTTTCTATGTGTTTAGATGTTTATACAGTAGATGAGTTTGCATCATTAAAGAAAAATATACTGAAGCTTCATTCATCCATGTTACATAGAGGCAGCTGATTAGAATACTTATACATGTTCATGGTAAAATACTAGCTATTTTCAGGTAAATTCCTACAGTGTGTTATTTTACAGTGTACACCATCCAAAATGGATCCGTGTGCTCAGTAAACCCCATGATAATCTGAATAATTATATTTTATGTGTACAAACTGAAACCAGATTTTTTTTTAAGACAAAAACGGTGTTAACAGCAGATTTCATAACGGCCTATATTCTATTCCTAGCTTTACATTAATATCCAGTCCATCGGGTTTTTTGTGTGTAAACTGCTCTTCATCAGAAACAATTTTGTAGCAGTGTATAATAAGGATTTACTCTCCAGCTGGACGGGAATCTGTACACACTGGTCCGTGTGAGGGCTTTGGCTACAAGAGAGCCAATCCAGGGAGGAGGGCAATGGCGAAGGAAGGAGAAATGTGACCGAGGATATGTTCCAGGTGTTAAACGTGGCTCCGCCCTACCAGCCTCTCGCCTCCACTCGTCCTCCCCCAGGCGGCTGAGTAGGGGGCTGGGCCACGGACACGCCGACTCACCGATGCTCCTGGAGTCCCCTCGGACAGTGAGGACGGGCGGGACATAGCTCAGCTCAGGCGGCTCTCTGCCCGCACACTCGACCTCGCACGGATTTAGTTAGTTTTCGTTAGAATTGGTCTGCACGTTTTCTTTAGAGCGAACATTTTCCCCATTTGACTTTCAGCGGCATCACGCAGCCCCCCGCACTCAGACAGGATGTCGGAACTTTCCGTGAATGACCACCTCGCAGGGATTTTATCAGATTTTGAAGGTATGTAGATTGTAATATTGAATTACTTTATTGTTGGTTTTGTTGACATGTAAAACCAGATGTAGAGTTGCAGCTGCAGTCTGAAAAGAAGAAACAAAACGTGTGTGTATATCAGGGTTTGAGTGGGAAACACAGTAGTATTCTGAAATGGCACCTTGGTGTTAAGTAGTTTTCCTAAAAAAAAAAGAAAAAAAAAGACTTTGATACCAGAAGCACAAAAACACAACTGTGCTGTGGCTTCTTAGAGCTAAAACAATCAATCCGTTAAAACAGTAAGTGTACAGAGCAGGCATAGGATGTAAATATATAACAACTTTAAATGTAAAAGTTACATCACTTGCACTGATGCAGCACATCACTAATCAACACACAATAAATGATTGTCTTCTTCATACCCAGTCTGTACATGTCTTTTGCTCATTTAATGTCATAGCAATAAATAGACTGAATCATTTCAAAATGCTTTTTTGTGCATTTGGGTGAGACATCAGTATGAATACTGGAGTCAGATGTAAAGCAGCACCAGTAACACAGTACAAGCAAAGTCCTGAAAAGCTTTCTGTGTTCAGACTGGGACTACTGTGTGTGTGTGTGTGTGGCCTGGTGTTACTCATGGTGTGGAGATGTAAATCTTTTTATGCAGTCATGTTGTGGGGACTCGACCTCCTTATGGGGACAAAAAGCAAAGCCGAAAACAAAAATCATTGCATTTTAGTCCTGACTTGGTTTAAGGTCAGGTTGGGGTTGGGCATGTATTGGTTATGGTTAAGTATAGGATATGGTAAGTTATAAAGAAATACACATAAGTCAATGTAAAGTCCCCTGGTGGAAGCACTACAGATGTGTGTGTGTGTGTGTGAGAGAGAGAGAGAGAGAGAAAGAGAGAGAGAGAGTTACAGAGCAAGACAGCTAGGGCATGGGTGGGGGGAGAGTATAAGTGTATCCCATTAGCAGACAATAGTATCTTTTAGAAGCAGTAAATTCAGATCTGTGAATGAGCTGGCTGTGCTTCAGATGAGATTAGTCCTTGTTATATGTCTCCTGGTCGCCCCTAACCTGATTAAACCGAGGCATTACTTGCACTGACTTTTTTACTTTTAAAATTATATATGTGTTTTGTTTGATAAACATTTGACATTTATATTTTACATTTTTAATTTATGCACCTTATTGAGTAACATAAGTCCCTTTCAAACATGGTACCTATGAATTTGCCGGCTACATGTAGCCATGTAGCAGCTGCTTTTTTGGCATTCAGACTTGGAGCTGCTTTGGCTATGCTTTGTTTAAACATAGCAGGATCTAACACAAATACAAATGAGGAACTTCAGGAGATGAGTAAATGACGATCTAGAAAATAGTAGGGCTGAATACAGAATACAGTACTTGCTGTCTGTGGATACACGATATTAAACTAAAGGCTACAGTGACAACTAACACAGCAAAGGCAAAAAAAAGTATGGAACAGGCCATATTGGCAGGTGTTTTATTCAAGTGTTCTGAACAATGGAAAGAACACATGTATATCTTGCAGTACTTTTGAATATGTTCTACAGTTTGTGGAAGATGTAAAAAAGAACTAGCTGGTGAAAAGCCATCAAACCTCAGCAGAGACTAGTAGCATGGTACACGCAGTGAGTACAGAACCATTAGTTGCCTGTTTGATGTGGGCAGTGCTCAATTTGTAAATGGTGAGGTCCTGGAATATCACTTAATGACTGACCCAGCATGTCAATATGGGAAGAGGAGTTCCTGGAATGAAAAAAATTACTCAATGAGTTTTACTAGTTTCCACATTAACTAGGAGTTTTGGAGTGTTTTTGGCTATTTTGGATGATTTTTAATAGTTTTGATTTTACCTTTATTAAACCTTTACTTTTATTAAACGTGAAATATGTTTAACATGCCAGTGTTTGGTATACACTCCCTGACAAAAGTCTTGTCCTATAAGGACATAGTAACCTAAAATGTCATATAACATTATTTCTAATCATTCAGTTGTCACAATAAATTGTTAATTTTAATGTCAAGGGCATTCACATTAATAACTGGGTGCAAAATGAAACCATCAGAAAGTGTCCTGATGTTCACAGCTTGGTAAAGCCCATAACATCTGTTTCTGCAAGGACAAAAGTCTTGCCGTATCTTTAAAGGATTCAACCAATCACAGATTAGAGCGTCACCTGTGACAAATACTGTAATTAACACATTCCCAGGTGTGTATAAGAAGAACCCCAGCACACCCAACCTTCATTTGAAATGCAACCTGACCTCTGATGGCATGCCAAAGATTCAGCCACAGACCAAAGTGGTGATCATCAAGAGCCTGAAGACCAAGTCTCCTGCTGAGGTGGCAGACATCTTTAATGTATCTAAACGTCAAGTGGAGGTGATAAGAAAAAGGTTTGAAGAAACTGGTGAAGTTCGTGACAGGCCCAGGTCAGGCAGGCCCCGTAAGACAACTGTTTGAGAGGACCGTTTGTTGCTTCGACAGTCCAGGGCCAGCCCTTTTTCAGCTGCAGCAGAGCTACATAAAAACTGGTCACCAGAAACCCCTGTATCTACAAGAACAGTTTGTTGAATTCGCTCACGCAGTGGTCTCAATGGCTGAATTAGTGCTCAGAAACCAACATTAAACAGAAGACGACTAAAACATCGTGTTGCATTTGCCAAGGCCCACAGCTTGCAGGAAGGATGGACAGTGGAAAAGTGGCCGAAGGTTGATTTTTCCGATGAATCATCTATTGAATTGCATCCCAGTCGTCACAAATACTGCAGAAGACCTACTGGAACCCGAATGGACCCAAGGTTCACGCAGAAAACAGTCAAGTTTGGTGGAGGTAAAATCATGGTTTGGGGTTACATTCAGTATGGGGGCATGCGAGAGATCTGCAGAATGGATGGCAACATCAGCAGTCTGAAGTATCAAGATATTCTTACTGCCCATTACATTCCAAACCACAAGAGAGGGCAAATTCTTCAGCAGTATGGTGCTCCTTCTCATACTTCGTTCCTGAAAGCAAAGAAGGTCAAGGTGCTCCAGGATTGGCCAGCCTAGTCACCAGACATGAACATTATTGAGCATGTCTGGGGGTAAGATGAAGGAGGAGGCATTGAAGATGAAACTGAAGAATCTTGATGAACTCTGGGAGTCCCGCAAGAATGCTTTCTTTGACATTCCAGATGACTTCATTAATAAGTTATTTGAGTCATTGCCGAGACGTATGGATGCAGTCCTCTAAGCTCATGGGAGTCATACACAATATTAATTCTTTTTCCACGGCACCATGACTTTATGTTCTGTACTGTACATTATTTTGTTATGCGACAAGACTTTTGTCTAAGCAAAGTCTGACCTTTCTGTCCTAATTAAATAATTACAAATCAAGGAATAAGATTTTATTTTGGTAAAATAAGCATAATCTAGAGTCCTTTGCCTTTCATATAAGCCACTTCTGATTGCAAATGATCAACTAGAAGTCAAGTTATTTGTTGTTCCTACAACTTGGATAGGCGACAAGACTTTTGTCAGGGAGTGTATTTATTTTTAGTCAAGCCTTTTACAAAAGCATATTAGTTGTACAAAAAGTATTAGACGTTGGAATTTTTATATATTATTTGCATAATCAATTTGTTTCATGTGTAAATACGCTGCTGGGTCCATTAAAATAGGTGCCTGTCACAATTTGAGAGGTGCCGGATCCGGATCTGGCTTGTTTTAGCACAGATTTACCCCTGGACATTTGGGACTGTCCACAGTATGTATGCTGGTGCTCCAAGTAACAGCAGCGTTGATATTCATGCTTGTCAAAAACATTTCATCTGCCTGCCAAAAGGCGAATGCCTTGAGCAAGCTCTGCAAGGGTTTGCTGAACTTGGATATCCAATGTGTGCTGGTGCCATCTGTGGGACTCACATTCCTATAATTGCTCCGAAGGAACACCACACTGCTTATTTCATTTGAAAAGGGTGACATTGCACTGTGATGGCGGCTGTTGTGGAGCACAAGTTCTGGTAAGATGTCAGCACTTGTGAGAATTATTCATGTGGGATGGCCTAATTGTACACATTATGCAAGAGTGCTGGCCAATTTTCAGTTTAAAAAAGGCAGAAGACAAAACTGGGTATTTGGTTTTTTTTAGTATTTTCTGCACTCCCCATACAGAGACTAAAACCATCAATGACTTGCCTTTGCTCACGGTTAATGTCTGTCAGTCATCAGTTAGCTCATTTGTCTGTGCCACAGACCTCTGTTGTTCAAAAACAATAAAAAAAAACACATCAATGAAACACACTGCTGTACTGGGTGACGTGTTTCATCATTATGAAAAACAAGACCAGTATATTTATTATAAATGTTGCCCCAAACAGGCATAACTTTTTACAGTATTTGAAGCGGAGTCAGCTGTTCATTTGTGAGATTTCCATGCAGGCTCTGTGCTTTGTTCAATGTACAATGTCTTGCCTTCATGGAGAGCTTGGCTAGTTTGACTCTAGCGGGAAAAGCGGCTGTTCAAGTGAAGTCTGATCTTATGGCTCTGTTCCTTTCAAGGAACTGTACTTTTCAACTTTTCTTTTTCTTCTTCTTTTTTTAACACTTCTGTGGTATAATCTAACTGCTGAATTGCATCCAGTGTCAGGTCTGTGTGTCTGTCAGTTTGACCGAGGGTAGGGCTTAGCTGCACACACACGGTGCAGGACAGATCACAGCAGAGCAGACACAAGCATGAAGCCCGCGCTTTGACTTCATTTATACACCTCTTTTTTTTTAGCTTTAGGTCACGTCTAAGATGATAATTCACCATTGCAACATTGTAGATAAGTCAAAAAACAAGGAAAAGCATGTCATGGGCTCTTAAATATATCAAACAAAATCAGATAACAGCCCATTTGTTTCACTTTTAAATTGGCTGTGAAGTAAATGGATCACTGGATGTCATGATAAGCATCAGACCTCTAGTACCGGGATTCCAACAGCTGTGTAAAATGAGCACAGGAGC